TACAAAAGAAAGATCAAGATATTGTGAATGCCATGGACTTGGTCAAAATATGTAAAGGAAGATTGCAAAGCATGAGAGATAATGGTTGGGATTCTTTACTTGATCAAGTTTCTTTCTGTGGGGGTCTTTTTGTTCCAGCAGCCTGACGAATGGGCTTAGGCTGCCGTAAGAAGAAAATGAATAGAAATTCCCCAAGTATCTGAGTTCAGAAACCAAGCTCCTGAAAGAGTTTTTGAAAGGTTTGATGAAACCTTAGAAAAATATCCTCAGGTTCTTTTCACCAATAGCAAAATAAACATAATAATGGCTTAGCATGAGGAGCTTGTGGCATGGGAGCAAAACCATTATGAGTTTAGCATGAACAGAGAGAGATAAGCGTGAGTTTCTTACAGTGAACAAAGGGTTAAAGTGGAACAGAGGAAGATTAGACAGATTTTTTTCCTAAGGGAAGAGGAAAACAAACGAATGAGAGAATTGGGAGGCTTGAGTAAAATTCCCAATTTGTTTGACAAAGCGTGGTCAAGCCTTGGATGGGTTATTTTGCTAGGTAGAAGAAGCATGGAGGAATAGGGCTCGAAATTGCTGGGTTTTGGAAGCAAGAGAGGAAGCTTGCTCTTTGGATGTGGATTGAGTGAATTTCCAATTGCTTGACAAAGCTTGGTCAAGCTCCAGATGAGTTAGGCTGTGGATGGTTTTTTGGGTAGATGAGGCTCTCTTTTATAGGCTTGAAGAACCCTAATTTCATCTAACTTTTCCTTTCCCTTTTTATCGTTTCTTCCTACTTGATCTAATTTGGTGAAATTCTCCTATCCAAGGAGCATGGGTAAGGAACCCTTTGTGGTTCCAATAGTTTGATGCAGTTGGACTTTCCCATAAGGGGGGAGGCGCCACCTGCTTTCTCTCATGGTTTTCAAAATGGAGCTTGCAGAGGAAAAACAGATGGGAGGAGTTCTTTGTCCAATGGGTATTCGTCTCTCACACATGGATTTCCATTGGTTCCTTCCATGGTTCCTTGTTTGACCATCTTGGAATCCTAGCAAGGATGGAGCACGATGCCAAATTTTTTATAAGGCTTTGGGCTGGGCTCAAGAAATGTTAGAGATATGGGCTTGAGTTTTAGGGCTCCCAAGTAGCCCAAAACTTCCATTTCTTGGTTCATCAATGGGCCTCATGAAAGCTTGTTACCATCCATACCACAACCCACTCAAGCAAGCCCCGGGCATTTGCTTGGCTTGGGCCCACTTAAGCTTGTATCGTGGTTGGGTGTGAAATAATAATTTCATGCTTGGCATGACATGTCAATCGGCGTGTTTTAATTTTATCGTCCTTGAATAGAGGCATGATGCTTGATGGGGTAATTAGCATGGGCTCTAGAGTTAGTGCTTATTTCAACTCTTAGCGTGAGAGATTGCATATTTATTTGGCATGGCATGTGGTCATGGCTTGTGCAAGCATGAATAAGGAATTTTGCATGCTCCGAACCGAGTCTTTTTTTTTAATAAGTCATTATGTTGGGCCAAGAATTTATTTGGGCCCAACCTTGGATTTTTGGGCCTCAACACTTTCTTTTGTGGCAAGTATCATATTGAAATTCCTAAAATGGATGATATTTTTTCTAGTGGAGGGAGACCAAAACGTAAAGCTCAACCGATCACAAACTTACATCGTTATCATGTTGATTTATTCGTTGATGTTATTGATATTCAGCTCCGAGAGTTAAATGATCGGTTCAATGAGAAGAATACTGAATTACTTCTTTGTATGGCATGCTTGAGTCCAAGTAATTCATTCTCTGCTTTTGATAAAGCAAAGTTGATGCAACTTGCCCAATTTTATCCTAGTGATTTTTCTAAGCATGACCTCAAATTACTTGAAGAACAACTTGAGAATTACATTTGGGACATGAGCTCTAACGATGAATTTACAGAATTGAAAGGGATTACTGATCTTGTGCAAAAGATGGTTAAGACAAAAAAAGATCAGATCTACCCTTTAGTGTACTTGCTTATGACACTGGCACTAATCCTACCTATTGCGACCGCAAGTGTAGAGCGAGTATTTTCTGCTATGAATATTGTGAAGAATCGGTTACGCAATCGAATGGGGGATGGATGAATGATTGCTTGGTTGCATATATTGGGAAAGACATTTTTAATAGTATAGATGACGAGGTTGTTATGCTACAATTTCAAAATATGAAAACTCGTCGAGGACAATTATGATTATAATGAATAGACAATATGATTTTTGATGTTTTGATGTCTTGTGAGTTCGAAGTTTTTATTGTTTATATTTTGTGAAAGGCCCTCAGACACATGAAATCCTGGCTTCGCCACTGATAACGGCCACCTTTTGTAGATAGTGTAGTAGTTACAAGCCATTTTTAAAAGTAGTTACGAATTGGTTGTGACATTGTAGTTGGTGCTCTTTCAATTTATCCCAATCACTGTAGTTGGTCTTACGACTCGTTCATTGTTTATTGGCCCAAGTTTTGCCTGTTGGTTGTTGTAGATGAGCAAGCTTCACAGTGGTACTTTTTTTTCCTGACTAGACTTTCCTCCATTTGGGGATTTTTTAAGGCAATGTTTTAACGAGGCCACTATTGCTCTATCATTGGGCTCCACTGATGTATTGTTTTGGGTAGTAGTCTTCTTTTTTCTTTTTCTTTATTTCCTTGTGATTAGTTCAGGAAGCGAATCTTTTTAAGGTTGCGCTCTTGTTCCTAGCTTTCACGTTGGTTTTCTTATGTTCTCATCCTCTCCACTATACTCTTATGGAGTTCTAATAAAACATCTTTCCCAACAACAACAAAATAGCTTTTTTTGGACTATATTGAGTAAACTATTACCTACAAATGTACTAAATTGAAATGAGTGGTTTTCTTTCATAAATGTAGTATGATTTTACTACTATATTCATGTTGGAATACAATTTTGATAAGAATAATGCTACTCTTACCACATTCTCATACCACCTTATGTGACAAATGAGGTGGACAGCCACATCAATTAAAATTAATTTAACGTTTTTATTATTATTTATAGACACTTTTTAGTTGATGTGGTTGTCCACTTCATTTACCACATAAGGTGATATGAGAATGTGGTATACAAATGTGGTAAGAGTAGCACAAAGGTATTGATTTGTGGTGAGGGGGCCATAGGCTTAAGTATAGCAATTTTTCTTTGTATTTGTTACCACACCCAATATATATAGGCTTATTTGTTGAAATGCCCCTTGTGGTTTCCAAATAGTCTCAATTTGTCCCATGATGTTTTAAATAACTCAATCTCCCTCGTGAACTTCCATTATGTGACCAAGGTTGCCCCATTCGGTTAGTTTTCAGATAAAAATCGTTAAATCAGCTGAAGTGGTATGTATTTTGGTAAATTTAACTATTAAAAATTAAAAATTCAAATAAAAAATTAAAAATTGCTTGAAATTATTTAAAATGTTTAAAAATATATAAAATAATAATAAATTAAGAATAACTTTTGAACAATACCCAACAGCTCCTAACACCCCCAAGTTTGACGGTACTGTCAAATCCCTCATCTTCTCTCTCTTCCCATCGACTCTCTCTCTCTCTCTCTCTCTCTCTCTCTCTCTCAGCGAGAGAGTTACGCCAGAGAAATATCTCCCCCAAACTATACCATGTTCTTCCACATAACCGACACCAACCCAAAGTCCACTATTTCCAAAATTAACAAAACTCCCCAATAAATAACTCAATAAAATTAATTTGGGGGCCCAAGGCCACCCCTGGCCTTAACACAGCTTTGCCCCTGACTACAATATTTATATTCTCAAAAAGCTTACGCGACATGATAGCTTACATAATTTGCAACAAGATATAAAATATTGTCCCCAATATAACCATTTGTAAAATCCAGCAAATGTGAGGTTTTATCACAAAAGGTAAATGTTATTAGTAGTGGAACCAATTATTATATGTTATATTTTATTTTATCAAGTTTCCAACCTATGACTTTACTCTTCAACCAAAACTCTATTTAAAAATGTTCCATTCTCTTGCCAAAAAGAATCTCTAATTGCCCTTTATATGCCATCTTAGGATTTTATTAAGGGTAACTATTTTCAAAATATATATTATATATTTTAATTAACTTATGCTTGTCGTAATTGTATTTTAGTTTTTAAAGATTTGTTGTATCCTATATCCTATATTGTATGATATCACGTATTGCGTATCTGTATCCGTACTTTATAGGAGCTAATTTTCACACAAGACACGAACATGCGAAAACTCACTATGTAGATCTAATTATAATACTAAAATACATTGTAAACTCAAGTGAGTGGTGAACTCTAATTATTCAAGTGTCGTTGGGGCTGTGCCGCGAAAAGGTACAATATAGATTCGAATTTTGCCATCATTTGAATGAAGCTTAGCTCAAGCTTTTATTGCATTATGCTAACATTTTGCTTAGTAGTTCAGTTTGAATATCTTTGATATGATCTCACTTTGAATACAAGTGATACTCTAAATTATAAGAGGGAGGGGTTTTCTCACACACACTACTAGTGTCATGGAACTCGAACATGAGACCATTGACCTACAAATCAATACCATTTTCTATTAGGTTGACCCTGTTGGCGATATGATCTCACTTTGAATTGAATAGAATTCGTTTAACATACTGATGATATACTACAGGCTACCTCGAATGAAACAAATCATTAGAGAGCTATCTACACAGGTTGCTTGAAGCTCAGGCATTCGAAGCTGCAAGCAAAGCATGGAATTGGATACCCAGCCCAACATCGTTTCACCTTTTCTTTTCTTTCCTTTTCTTTTTTATTTATTTATGTTGTGTTCACCTTCTTCTGCTTGCTGTTCTCTCCTTGCGCATTTTTTATAAATTTCATGCACAATTGTTTGAAATTCAACAACTCCCTACACTGTAATGTTGTAATGGGCTGCCATTGTCTCTGTAGCAAAACTGTTTCTTCCTGTAATTGAGGCAAGAATAATTAGTTCAACTTCTTCCCCTTCCAAACTCATACCAATTAAACATTAATTGTTTATGTTCTAACAATTAAAGTTGGATTCTTTAAGGGCATGCTTTTGGTCTTTACCTATGTATAAGTCAAAAGAAGACAGGGATATAGTCATATCTAAAGGTGGTGGAGATGGAGATGGAGATGGCGATGTTGCCTCAAGTTCAGGGAAGACCAAAATTCTTCATCCACCCATTGAAAGCCATTGGCATCTCCCTCCTCAAGACAAACACAGGCCTTCATCTTCAATGTCAAACTTAGGCCTCAAGACAATGATCAAGTTCCGCGACTCGTTCAAGAAGCTTGGAGGGAGTAGCAGCAGCATCAGCAGCAATAAGAGCTTGAAAACGGTTCTCGGAGGAGTTCGTGATCCAAAGGATGAAAACGTTGTAGAGCGTTTCAGAGAACTGCTTTTCCTTGAGGGCCAGCTTCCTCCACAGCACAATGATTATCATACCCTTTTAAGGTAAGTTGATGGGAACATTATTTGACATCAAGTGTTTCCAAATTTTCTATTTCATTGATAATGCTTTCTTTCTTTCTTTCTGAGGTTTCATTTTATAGGTTTCTTAGAATGAGGGACTTTGACTTTACAAAAGCAAAAGATGCCTTCTTGAGTTATCTTAAGTGGCGCGAGGATTATATGGTTGATGCAATTCCAAAGGTGAAATATTTCGAACTATATTTTCCAACAGATACAGAGGATAATGATATATTTCATATTGGTTTTACAGCATGACTTATTTCAGAAGCTTTAATTTTTGTGTGCTTATAGCACATAAATACAGGGATATCATGTTATGTAAACATTACAATGTATAGAAGCTTGAAGCACAAGTTAATCTAAAGGCTTGTTTTAAGATAAATTTGAACACAGCAGACATGAGCTTAGCCAAGTTGGCTAGACCGGATGTGCTCTCCACTATGCACCCGAGTTTGAATCCCCTTCCCTATAGTTTAAATTAATTTAAAGTAGAATATCGCTTGTATCAAAAAAGATAAACCGCCAAGTCTATATTAATTACTCTAAAAGCCTGTTTTAGTTCTAGCTTTCATGAGATTTAATATAAAGTTTCAACTAAAAAAAAAGGGAACAATTTTAACCCTTAAAATTTGACTGCAGGCCATCTATAGATTGTACCATTATCATTCTACGTCAACTAGTCTCACTACGGCAGGGCACATCACTACAAGATTTTCTTTCCCTGTTTTTGGCTAATCCAATAGTAGATGTTCTGATATTGCAGGAGTTTAAGTTTGAGGAGTATGAAGCAGTAAAGAAATGCTATCCTCATGGATATCATGGGGTAGACCGGTACGGTAGACCGTTGTACATCGAAAGAATCGGAATGGTAGACCTTAACAAGCTTCTGCAAGTAACTAACCTTGAAAGATTTGTCAAGTATCATGTGTCGGAACAAGAGAAAACATTGAATTGGAGATACCCTGCATGTTCACTTGCAGCCAAGAGGCATGTAGCATCTACAACAAGTATTTTAGATGTGCATGGAGTGGTGAGCATCTTTTTCTCATGTTTGATCTAGAGCAAACTTCCATACAAAGTTGTTCATCCCATAAATTATTTCATGAAGATTTGATTTTGCTGGCTAAGAAAAATAAAACAGCGTCAAATGTGTTATTTGAATTGCAACAGTGAGTTCTAACATACTTGAAATTTGTGTTTGATTAGGGATTGGCTAATTTCTCAAAGCCTGCTAGATATCTCTTCATGGAAATTCAGAAGATTGATAGCAATTACTACCCAGAGGTACGTGGGTTGTCATTGTCTCTGCAGGGATACTATGTGAACAACAAGATGGTTAGAATGGTTGATTGGTGAGTCAGGAGAGTAGTAATCTAGATTCCAAAACAAAAAATTAGCAAAATTAGTGATGAAGATGTCGATAATCTTACCATTAAGTCCATAGGATTAGATTAGATTGGAGATAAGTCACTATATTCAAGGTATGTTGAAGGATGAAACGAGACCCAACTTCCAAATTTTTGTCCAAATTGAAGTTGATGGACTAGTGATGAAGGAAATTTATCCCTTCAAAACCCCACAAGATAGTAGGATATTAACACCTTATAACTTATCGATTCTAATTCCCACAATATTAAAAATCATTCACCTCACTTTCATTTCTTATTTCAATACACATTGAATCTAGTCAGTTATCCAATTCAATCCAGTCCCAAACACCAAATCTGCTGTAAGCTATCATAGTCAACTTAATTATCGGGTATTAGAAGGTGGTATATTTTCATCGGATTAAAAGGAATGCCAAGTCCCTACCTACTGAAAATTGATGAATTACACTTCATTTTTTTGGAATGAAATGAATGACACTTAATTTTTAGAGATACTAACAGAAGTGTAGTGTATGTGCTCTTATTTATCTATCAATGACTTTAGAGCTGTTGATATTTTTCAGACTCTAAATCGGCTGTTTATTGTGAATGCTGGATCTGGGTTTAAAATGCTGTGGAAAGCAGTGAAGGCTTTCCTTGACACACGCACATTAGCAAAGATTCAGGTGAGGGTTCTTTTCTCTATGGCGGATTAAGGCCCGTTTGGTATTCAACTTGAATCCAATTTTTTAAACTCAAAAACAGAATTTGAGTACAAAACAAAGAAAACCTGTTTAGTAGCCCTATTTTTAAAAACTCAAACTCAAGAACAACAAAAAAACACCCCAATTATTAAAAACAAAAAATATCTGTTTTTTCAGTTTTTTTCTAACAACCCACATATTATCAAAATTTTAAGATTTGAAAATAGTTTTCGAGTTGCATACCAAACAAGTTTTTGAATATTAAAAATAGATTTAAGAACTCCTTGTTTTTAAGAAAAATCAAAGTTTTTGAGTTCCCTATTCGAATAGGATACCAAACACCCCCTTAATTTCTAGCCAGAAAGTTTTCTCCTTAATCCCAGTGGACTAATTTTTTTTGAGTCTTCGAGATTATTATTTCAGGTGCTGGGATACAATTACCAAAGTAACCTGCTTGATGTTGTTGATCAAAGGTAAGCATTTCAAGCCCAAGTTGGTACAAATTTGCACAGATATTTGTATAAATAAATTAGAAATGAGAGAAAAAGGGGTACAATTAAGAATAAATAAATTCAATTCTCTGCAGCAATTTGCCAACTTTTCTGGGTGGTGGCTGCACCTGTTCTGATTATGGAGGCTGCCTTTTAAGTGACAAAGGACCCTGGAACAATCCAGATATTACAGAAATGCTTCAAGTGATCAACTTTCTTCCTTCCCAAGTGTTTTACTTCAAACTTTGTTGCATTGCAGTTTAAACTTTTTAACCATGTGCAGTTAATACAGTAGAGGGTAAATAATACTTCATCTATATTTTCAGGCAATTTCTGCAGACAATAATGGGGTCAACAATTATGAAGAAAATGGTAATTTGGATTCAGATGAGGGGCTTTTACGAAATATAGTAAGCACACCAAATATAACCAATGCCTTCCTTGCATACTTCTGCTCTCTGCATAATTCAGATATATCTGTTTCTTGTTAGTTTTGTTTGATGTACTTATTTCAGTTGCAGCACCATTGTTGTTTTTGTTTTTAAAGAAATTTGTTTATGCGTTTCTTCGTCTCCGTTTCTCAAATTTATAATGCTCTTTCGGATTTACTGAGAAGAGAATTAAATAAAAAGATTTCATTCTGATATAATGCTGTTTTGTGTGGAATTGCACCAAAAGAAAATCAAGGCCTTGGAAGCAGAATTTAGAGAGGCCAACAAAGTGAGTTCTAAAAATACTTGTACCTCTCATTTCCTACAATTCAATCCACAAAGACATGTTAACTGTTGTTGTGTTGCAGAAAATTCAAGCATTAGAAGCTGCACTTGAGGAAGCCAAGATAGTGAGTCCTAAAACATAAAAAAATTCTTCATATTGGTACCAGCCTTAAACATCTTTACTGAGTCTTTCATTATTTTCTCCTCACAGGTCTTGAAAGAACTTGGCCAGCAGGTTGAAGAGCTGAGATCAACTCCTTGGGAAGGATAGCCCAGCTCATCAAATTATCAAATAAATGTGTATCTTTCTAGGGGAGCGCTATTCGTGCTCCTACGGTCTATATATAATTTAACCTCTCTCGTACTCCTGCGGATACATTCTTGTAGAAATGCAGAGAAGTTAATATAAAGGAGCACGAATAACACTCTCCCTTTTCACAAACTAAACAATATTTTCAAGGACCTTTATTCGCTCTTGTTTCTGTCAATAAACCAAGTGATTGTCATTAGAGACGGTACAATTTAAGTTGAGATTTTCTATTTAAACCCCGCACTTCTCTTTGTTCACCCCAATACTTAAATCATTAAGCTGTAAGTTTTATTATTGTGTAAAAAGACAAAAAAGGTCATCGAACTTAATAACTAACCCTAGTACACACACCCCACACACTCCACCACTCTTCATATTAAGTTTTAGAAACCTCATTCCA